GCCTGTGCACCGTGTCTCTGGCCGCATGCCAGAGGTTACAGACCTGAACCGCCTCATGCAGCTCCCAGGGTCTGGACGCTGTGCTGCACACCAAAAGCCTAGCTGCTGGAGCTGTCTGCTATTCCCCACTGATGGAAGTCTTTAGGGGTGCTTCCAAGCTACCTCTTCGCCCTGCTGAGCAGCTCCCCTCAGCTCTTCTAAGCCCCGCTGTTCTCTTTTCTCTGTCCCGGACGTGTTCCCCTCATACTGGGATGCTGGGCACACAGCTCCTTTTATACTCTCCAGGGCTCCACCCCTGAAGTCTTCCAGACCTGAGTGCTGCAGTCTTCAGTCAGGTCAGGGGAGCGGAGGGGGGAGGAAGCTCCTCTCCCCCTTCCCTCAGGAAAGGGTCACAACTTAACTCCTGTTGCTTCCTCCTGATTGGTGGATGGGCTCCACCAATCAAAACAGCAAGATGTCAGGCCTGGGACTCAACCCAAGCCCGAAAGGCAAGCCTGCTATACATTATGAATTTACTTTTTCTCTCTCCCTCCTTGGCCCTACAATGAGTCTACACAGAAACAGTAAGCCAGGCTGCTAGGAGAACAGACACCATGTTCTTCTGATTATGCCCCAGTGCTGCAGAGGAAAGTGAAAAACCCCCAGAAGCTTGTACCAAAGGCAACTAGTGCTGGCAAAAGCCCTGAGAAATGGGATTACAAAATACCATCCACACTACAAAAGCTACTTTTCAATCACAACAGAGGGACTGCAAACTCATGGATCCCATTCCTTGCCCCACCGCTTTACTTGGCAAGCTTGGCAGAAGAGCCCTTCCAATTCTCTACCCATTAAGGACTTACCAAGCAGCTTATCTGGTTAGATGAATAGCTCAAACTAATTCAAGAGTTGTTCTGATCAATTAATGATTAGTGTGATGCACTGCTAGAGGTTTTCTCTGTAGCTGTCTGGCTGCCTATGAGGCTGTAGATGGTGTGATTGATCAAGAAGGTGCTCTCATTCTTTGTATTGTTTAGAGCTATCACTACCCAGTGGAAGAAAAGGTAGCAAATGATTATAGATGTGCATATTTTTACATGTAAATCTACTAAATAGTATGTTCATACTGATAGGCTACTTGACTATTCTTGAGGCAAAGTTGAATATCTAAATGGTTACAGCAGCCATTTGCGTTGTGGGAGACCTGGTTCCCAGCCCTTTTATTGCCAGGGAGATGAACACACACTGCCTGCTGGTACACACCTCTCTGCAGAGTGGGCTAGCTTCAGCCTTTGACAGGAGCCAACTGCAAAACAGGATATGTCCTACTGACTGGAGTGTTCTCCTCAGAGGAGAGAAATGTCAGTTTGAATCTCCACAAGCACAGGAGGGTTTTTGACCTGGATCTTCCCCCTCCCAGATAAGTATTCTAACTGGACTAATGGGAAAAGGAGAACTTCCCTGACTTGACAAAACAGCATGAGAGGACTAACTCCCTATGAGCTGGAGTATGGACAATGGGGATATGAGTTTTTGCAAAATAACCTGTTAAGATACAAATATCTACTGAGCATGGACACACCACCTTTTTCTGAAAGGACCAATTTGGTCAGCTTGGCCATACTTAGGGAGCTTTTCCTGGGAACAGAAAATGGCACCTCCCAGAGAAGGCACCACCTTCAGCCAAATCTCAATGCTCTGCTCCAATGTAACAGAGGACTTTTGAGCTTTTCTAAGACACAAAGGCCAGAATATTTTAACAAGGAAAAAAATAATCTTTCTATAACCTCTTGCTTGGATGCAGCTGAACATTTTTAGTCATAACTTTACAACCACATTTGAGTTGAAGTAGATGGTCAGTGTGAAAAACTTTAGCCCAAAGAGGCCAGTGTTAACAAAGGTATAAACCAAGGAAAGAAGGTCTCAGATCATGTCATACTGAGCAACTTCAAACATGATGGGGAAGTTCCAGTCTGTCCTGGGGCTGTTTCTCGATTTGGGGGAGGACTCTGGGCTCCCATGAGAAAGATGAGCAATAGCACTGACATGCAGGCCATCTCCACCTTGTGGGGCAAGGGAGAGATTTGTGTAGGTCAGATCTGCAAGACTGCCAAAGGCACTGCAAAGAATGAGTGAAAATTGTTAGTTTATTAAAAATTGAATTATTGCAGATTTGTTACTGATTAAAATGAGTTGTGCTTTTACTTGAAAAGTGGCGATGTGAGGATTGTATGTCTCTAAGAGGTAGGTGGAGTTGGAGAGAGCTGCAGGGAGAGTCTGATGCCTGTGTGTGTGTGCTGTTAGCAGAAATAAAGAAACCTCTTTGTAAATGTGGCTCCTGCCGCTGCAAACTGAACCCTCAACACAAGAAGAACCACTGCCCTAGACACTCCTGTAGCCAAGGCACCGCACATCCTGTGTGCGCACAGGCTTCTACGGCAATGCTCTGCACAGGTTATGTTTTTCTCTTAAATTGTGTTCTAAGTTTAATTCTGTTCTGTTATGTTTAGTTAAGTTGGCCACTCAGATGCTCTTTTCAGATGTCTTCTTTTGGATGCATAATGGCAACAATCAGCTGTGCCATGATACGTTGCGGCACAGTTTGATCCACTTTGGTAAGGTCTACAGACATTGCTGGGGCTATTCTCCCTCAGGGCAAGACTTCTGCTCCTCCTGGGGCTTCAGGGATCTGACCCTGCAGGAAAAGGGCTGTGGGTGATGCCCCAATTTGGGATGCCCCTCTGCAAGTGGAGGTTTCTTCCATGTGGAGGTGCAGGGAAATCTCTGCAGGGGATTCCTCCAGGATGTTTCTGAAAGTATGGTGGGGGGGAACCCCCAAAAGGGTTCCCTTTCCCTGCTTGCAGATTGGGCATGCCAGGGGAATCTCTCTGGAGGAAAAACTCTCAGAGGGGTCTTCCTGCTTCATGCTTGCACATTGTGCCTTGACCCAGGGTACAGCAGCATGATAGGTGCACTGGGGCTGCCACTTTTCTCTGGCACTGCTGCACCCAGGGTCAGGGAGACATGTGCAAGCAGAGGGAGTTCCGCCCTCTGTCCGTGAATCCTGTGCAGGATTCCGTCAGCAAACCTAGTCTGCAAATGCCCAGGGAGACTCCTCCTGGGAATTCCTTCCTCTGTGCTTATAGAGGCACCTTGGGCAAAGCCCCTGAAGGGGAATTCTCCCCTGCCCCAACACAGGGGGCCTTTTCCTGCAGGATCACCCTCTCCCACCTTAAGTGAATAGGTGTTGGCCACAATACAGCAGCACAAATTATTACTGGATTTGTTGATGCCACAAAATGTAAACACTTGTGACACAACAAAGTATGATGTCTGTTCACTCGCTTTTGCACCACCATGAAAACTGTTATGGCAGCACAAAATCGTCTGTTTGCAGTCAGAGTGAGACCAGGGAGTGGGCACAGCAACAGGCCTTTGAGTTGGTGCTGCTGCTACTCTCTGAATGGTTATTTACTATGCCATGTTTCATTTTATTATAGGTGAATAATAGACCCTAAGTTAAATGCTATTTTTTATTTGTATCCTATAACTAGGAACCTACCAAAATTACAATTTTGCAAATTTCACAGAAAACGCAAAAACTGGCATTACCGCAAAATCTACAGGAAAAAAAGAAAAGAAAACATACTGAAAATAAAATGCTAAGCTCCCCTTTGCTGCGGCCTTGCTGTGCAGCCCATGGCGGGGGAAGTGAGACAGTAGTGGGGGTCGACTGTCCGCACAAAGGGCAGCCCAAGATGTCTGCCAACCCTGCCTCTTACCACCAATTTGCTGGGAGGGCAAGGGCACGTGCTGGACAGCCCTCTGAGCCAATCATTGGTGAGGGGCAGTGCTGGGGCCCCTTGGCCAATCAGAGGCATGGGAGGGGCCTGCCACTATAAGGCCATGAATATGGCAGCCAGCCCTGCAATCTCCCCATGAAATTGGCCAGCCACCTCGTTGAGTTAGGTAGACCTCTAACTATAACCAGTGTTAAGTACTGGGCCTCCCAGTGGAAGATGAGGTCCCTCACCCTTGATTGATCTGCTGTTAGCTTTAGCCCACCAGTTTACCAGTAATGGGGTTATGGTTGTGTTATTCAACAAGTTTGCTTAAACCTGCTCTTTCAGAATTCTGTCCCTGTTCCTCCCATTCCCCCTGCAAAAGGGTGTCGGAAGTTGTAACATCATTTGCTCTTTTTACTTATCTGTATGGGCATGGGAAGAAGTGGTAGGAATACGTTTCTCCCACCTTATGCTTGCTCATGGGGAAGCTGCATGATATAAAGTGGGCGTATGGGGGTTTCTCATGACCCTGCACAGCCACATAGGTCTGGCCATGACATGCGAAAGATCACGCTGCAAAAAAGCAGCAGACCAGAAACTAGAAACCAGCTTCCTAAGTCCAGGCTTCTCCAGTTGTCTCCACTAGACTATGTGTGCCCCACTGTTTATTACAGTCTGTCTCTTCAGGTGTTTATGTGAGCCTTGTCTGTGTCCTCTCTGAATTCCTCCCAGGTATACATGCACGAAGGCTTACAACACCCCGTATGAGAAAAGGAAGCATTATCATCTCCATGTTACCAGTGGGTAGAACGGAGAGGCAGGAAAGTGACTTGCCTAAGGTCACATGGGAAGTCTGTGGCAGAACCAGGAAATAAATCCCATCTCCTGAGCCCCAGCACAGCATGTCAAGTGCCAGATCTGCTTCCTCAGGGCATTGCACCCTCTTACAGGCTGCTTGCAGAAGTGGTAGAGTTTAAAATCAATCCTTTTACAGAAGTCACACCTCCCTTCTAGGGCAGTTTCTAGATGGGGGATGGTCGTATGGGTAGATCTAGAATGTGGAGAAGGGATGAGGGGCAGAGGGTGAGGTATATCAATACCTATAAAACAACATGTATTTTTCTCCAGTTAAAAATAAACCCAAGGCTTTACTAATATGCCAGGGGGCTGGGGCTGTATTATGTTAAGATGGAAACAAAACCAAATAGAAGTGTGTAGGAACAAGTTAGAAACAACCTGCAGGGCAGTGAGATAGAATCTTCACCAGCAGAAGCAGGGAACAGGCAGCAGCAGGGAAAAACAAAGGATGGCTTGATTGGGGGAACATCAAGACCTTTAAAAAGAAGAGTGGGTGGTTAACACTGTGGAACAGACTTTAGAGTAGTGGTTCTCAACCTTTTTTTGTATCAGGACCCATCGTAAACATCAGAGGCCAGTCCTGACCCAGGGCCCTTCACTCCTGATCCCCCTCCCCCCTGCCTCCCACCCTGTCTGGGGCAGGGGATGGGTGTGAAGTGCAGTCGGGATGTGTGAGGCCTGGGGGAACTCAGCCAGCCTGCAAGGGGAAAGCCACTGTTTCCCACATTTTCCTCCTTTAAAGGAGAATCCATTTTTAAAGTTTGTTGATCCATTTCTAAAGGTTGTTTGCAACCCCTTCATATATTCTTGCAACTGACTTTTGGGCCGCAACCCATGGGTTGAGAAACGCTGGTTTAGAAGGGATTGGGGAGATGGCAAGGAGCCACGAAGCGACTCCCTCACTGCTACCTGGCTTTAAGTGCTGCTGCCACAGGTTTTAAACTGTGGGTGAAGCGGGAATCAAAGCGGGGTGCAAGTGTAGGGTAGCCCCCCACCCCCGGATCCGCCGCCTCCGAGACAGCGCTGTCCTGCCCTCCTTGGCTTCAGCCAGCAAAGTGGCACGGAAGGGAATGCAGGGAGGTAAGGCTAGAGCCCGACCAGGCAAGTCACCAGGTTCAGTAAAAAGTCCCAGGCTTTGAAGACCAACGTTACACCCCCTCTTTTATTTGCGGGGCTCACAGCCTGCCCCCCCCCCAAGGGAGCAGCACCCCACGGCCCCAAAGCGCAGGGAGGGGGAGCTTCGCCCAGATGTGAACAGCTGCTGGCCTGGGGGCAGCCCAGCTCCCGGCTGCAGCGTTCCACAGGCAGCACCCACCGATTGGCCAACCGCGGAGCAGCGCTGTGACGCAATGGGCGAGCCCTCCGGTGACTGAGAATCCTGCACCAGCCACGGGCCTTCCGGGCCTCTAAGCTCCGCCCCTTGTAAGGGAGGGTGGGCAAAAAAAGAAAAGCGCGTTCAGCATTCGCAGCTTTTTGGCTCTAGCGCGTGCCGTCCTGCGTCGGAGTCTGCGCGGAAGGCGCTGGTAGCGCGGAGAGGTGAGGCGCTGGCCATGGACTACCGCGCGGCGGTGATGAGCCGGGCCGTGCCGGGACAGTTCGATGACGCGGAGTCCTCTGATAGGTGAGGGCCGGCGCGAGCGCCTCGCGCTTCTCGTGCTGGGGCGCCTTAACGGATCCCGGCGGAGGGGCCTTAAAGGGGCCACGCCAGGGTTGGGGGGCGGGGATGTGAAACGCTCAGAGCGAAAGTCCTAAACAAAATAAAGCGTGTCTCAAGAAAAAGATGCTGTTTTGCTGGCACGTAGGTAACACCCCAGAAGTCTTTCTGTCGGGTGTAGAGCACGTGGCTGCTATACGTTACATGTATCGCGCAAGTGGTCAGCAAATCCTGTGGCAAATGTGGCCTCTCCCCCCCCGGGTGCCAAGTCACGATCGCGCAGTTGGCTGGCAAATGGGCCAATGAAGTCCAGCTGACTGCACATGCAAAATAGCACAACATTTGCTGAGGAATCGCAATAAATCTAGACCGGCCGGACTTGCAAAGTAATTGCCGCACAATTCACTGGCAAATTGCACAATAAATGTAGCCCAGCTGCACGTGCAGAATAGCAATCGCATGCAAAGCCTGGCTGTAAAGTGAGCTAATCAGCTCTGAAGTTATTGCTTGACAGTGTGTAACAGCTCTGTAGCTGGTTTCTATACTGCTTTCATTGGAAGATGTAGCAGGCCCCAGAGGTTTTGGGGAAGGGCGGTGGAGAATGTTCCCTTCTTGTCCCCCTATTTCATAGCCTGGTTGGGGCCACGCTTGGCTCTGTTGGAAACATGACAGACCACTGTGATCAGGCTCTGGTGCAGGAGGGCTCGTACCTTCCAGAAGACTCCTTTCCAGGGTCACTGCTTGTAGAGCAAGGTGGGTTAGTAGTTCAGGCCAGGTTATCCCTGCAAGCTTCCTAGAGGCCCCAAGTAAAGTCTTAGAATCATAGAAAATTAGGGTTGGAAGGGACTCGGGAGGTTGCATCTAGTCCAACCCCCTGCTCAGAGCAGGACCATCCCCAGCTAGATCACCCCAGCCAAGACTTTGTCTACCCACGTCTTAAAAACCTCCAAGGATGGAGAATCCATCACCTCTCTGGGTAACTTGTTCCAGTGTTTTACTACTCTTCTAGTGAGAAAGTTCTTAGTATCTAACCATAACTTCCCTTGCTGCAACTTGAGACCATTGCTCCTTGTCCTGTCATCTGCCACTACTGAGAACAGTCCAGCTCCAGCCTCTTTCGAAAACCACTTCGGATAGTTGAAGGCTGCTACTAAATACCCTCTCAGTCTCCTCTTCTCTAGACTTCTCTAGACCAGTCTTGTTGGAGAACTTCTCAGCTAAGCTCCTAACATGGCATAATACAGTGCGATAATAGGTTGGATAGCTATAGATTTTTTGCTGATTGCAGTAGAACACAGTTTGTGTGTAGATTGGTACATTGCTTTTTCTTTTTTTAAGTGAATATACACAGGACATCAAGACAACTAAAGAAGAGGCAATAAAGGTGGAAAATCAGCAGCCACATTTGAATGAGGAAGTGGACACTGATGAACTAGAGAATGACGACGACGATGAGGAGGATGAAGACTGGGACTGGGATGATGCAGCTGGGAGACTCACCAAGCGGCACACTACTATTGGAGGGTGCAACCCACAGGTAAAAAAGACATTAATGAGACCCTAACAACAAATGGGACTGTCGGGGGCAAAATGCCGGTTTTATATGACCCCAAGAATAAATGCAGATCCAGTCCTCTTCTGACACTTGGAAGAAAGTGCTCTTCTGATATGTTTCTCTTCCTTACATGCCCAGAGCATATCTTGTAACCCATATCCACTCTCTTCCCACGTCCCAGTGGTATCAGTCCCTCAGCCCAGTTGCCTGGATCTGTTGGTTGGTAACCATCTGGAGCCTCAGTCTCTCCTTTTCAAACCATCATGAACCCAGTCTCTTTTTCAGTACCCTCCTTATATATCTGTCCCTTCTTTCCCACTAGAAATAAAACAGTGTGCTTAACCTGCCCAGGATAGGGAAGCAATATTGTATTTGGACTGATGGTAATATAGGCAAAAAACTTTTGAAAAACACATCAGAGGTGAATGGTTTAGAAGGGAATTTGTCTTTCCCATACCACTCAGTTATAAGTACAATTTCAAAACCAGTTTCCTTTACACTTTGGGGCTTTGGCAGTGAAAGTAGAAAATGTCTCCTTTTTTTATTGGAGTACAAGCACCTCATCAGAGTATTTGGGAGCAGGGACAGTGTCATTGTTGTAGCAGGTTTGGCATGTGTCTGGTACTGGTTTTTGAGCTCTGGAAAAAAGTTCCTGGAAATTGGGAGTTAATGAGCATTTGAAATTAGGAGCTCATGCTGAAGTGCTGGTGGGGAAGGGATGGGAATCAGTTTATCTGTGGCAAGCCAGGCATGCTTCTTTCTTCTCTCTTTGTGCCCTCTGCATCTCTCCCTTAGTGTTCCCTCCATCTCCCTGGGTGCTTTGCTTCCTGTTTTTCCTGATCCTTGTGTTCCTGTTCACTTTTTAGCCCCAAACTAAAAAGAATCCTACTGGGGTGGCACTTGGCTATTATGAATTTTTAATCTCCCCAGATGCTGGATTCTCTTAGATTATATCGATTCTAATTATATTCCCTGTCAATTTCCTGATATCCTCATTTACAAACAAATGTTAAGTGTACAGGTGGTTTAGAGACATGATTATAATATTGATTTATTCTCCCCCTCCCCCAAAGCTACTGTGTATATATATTTAGAAAGGCCATCTAGGGAAGGTGAATTATATAACAAATCCTTTGTTTCAGGCAAATAGACAGACCCCTAGTTGCAATTCAGCAAAAATGTCCACTCCTACAGACAAGGCTTTAAGAAAATTTGAGCATAAAATTAATCTAGGTGAGTATAATCCTATCATGTTTTATGGTACTAGGTATCTCTGACCTGCTGTTGACCAATTTTGATTAGTTGTAGGAAGTACAGCTACCTGACTATTCCAGAGAGTTGAAAGGTTTAATATCTGGTGTTACCTTCAGACTTCATGTTGGCATAATATATTGTTTGTGAAGCTTTTCTCTGACTTCAAAGCCGGAGGGTTATATGTGTCCTTCTGGCCTCCCTATGAGGTAACTCTTTTTTATTTTCACCCAAGAAACAACCTGTTTTGCAGTCCATCCAGCTACCATGCACATGTGCATGCAGTGATGGTAGTCATGTTGCTGTATAGCATACTATTGTATTTTGTACCAGTAAATTTATGTCTAGGTACATTTACTTTGCTTAGCGTCTTTCATGCTTCAGGTAATCCAAAATGAGGAATTAGAGCAGTGCATTGAATTATTTTAGGTAAACACAACAGCTGTTACACACTTGGCCACAGCACGATGGACATCATAATTGTTGAGAAGGGAAATCACAGCTTCCCTTCGATTACTTAACAGAAGGTGTTATTGCTTATGCTGGCTGTTGGAAAACAGCCAGAGATGCATAACTTCTGAGAGAAGGACAGAGGGGTTTAGGAGTAACACATTGTCTGATGGGTAGCATCTCTAGGCATCATTTCATCTTCAAAACAATAGTCATGTTGCTGTCCTTTATTTCTGGATTAGATCTCAGATGCGTACAGGATGCTAAATTAATATGTGCTCCTATGGTATATGTTTGAAAAACTTGATTGTTATCTGTATTGTTCTGTTCCTTGAATAACGTGTGTGAGCGATCTCTGGTGACAACAGAATTGCAGCTGCAATTTTGAACGTAGAAAACCTTTGATGTGCACTTCTGTGTGTGTTTTTCAGATAGGCTAAATCTGGACGACTCTGTTATAAACAAAGTCACAGAAAAATCTAGACAAAAGGAAGCAGACATGTGAGTAACCTGGGTGGCTGTTTCAACTTTTCTGTTGAATTTTCCTGAACTCTTATATGTTTAAATTATTTTTTTCAAAAGAGCTGTAGTTTGATTCACATTGCTGGATAAACTAAAAAGAATTTCTGTGAGAAGTCTCTATCCATTCTCTGCATTACATTTTGAAATGTTAATGTTTTTCCTATAAAATGTGACTGTTTGCTGGGTTAATTTCCTATATTGTTGTCAGGACTTGATCCTGCTTTTGTCAAAGTAAACAGTAAATTTTGTTAACATTGATGGCCGTGGGATCAGATGATAAAACAGAAAATACTAGTGCCCTCCCCCCCCCTTAGCTAGAATAATAAGCCAGTTTTATCTTTCCTTTCTCCCTCCTCTTAAACTATGCTTCTTGAGCTGTAAGGTTAGGAAAATTATTGAGAAAGCTGTGTGTACTCCTCTTCATCTGATGACAGGGCAAATGAATGAGCACTCAAGTGTGTCTCAGACATATGAGTCTGGTACCAAGCAGGCAAGGAAATTTCCCACTTATGCTCAGAAGGTGCTTAGAAGGAAGAAACAAGTCGTCTTCAACAACAAAGGATACTGGGGGTAAAAACAGACATTGTCTAATTTTTATGGCGGCACAGATGGCAAGCAAATAGACATCCCTACCATTTGTCACACCACATCAATGGCTGTAATGAAACGTAGTGTAAAAATAATGCTGCTTTATTGTACTTCATTGATCCTGCACACCCCAGGAATTCTTATCCAGAATTCGGCCCTTCGGGCTGGAGCAAATGCCCAGCTTCCCCCCTCCCCCGACTTGCAGAGATGAGCTCCGGGCCCCAGGGAATCTCACGGCACCTTATTCAAGGGGGTGGTCCCCACTTTTGGAGACTCGCCCCAGGATCTCCAGGGACACATTTCTGTAAGCATGCCTCTGCATTGAGATCCAGATGGCCCTGTGCTTCTGTGTGAAGCACAATTTGGCACGGGACCTGGTGCCAGTCCTTGCTTGGAGGCCCAAGACATTGGAAATTCCCCAGGTTTTGCATTGCCCCGCATGAGGACCTGTATCAACCTTTGCTTTCACTTGAGGCACAGGTTGGTATGGGACCCAGCCCGGGTCATGCCAAGGAGGCAAGGGGCAGTGAGAGATGCAGGGAATCCCCAAGCAAGGGGAACAGGTTGCCCATTGTCCTGCATCAGGTGATGTGTGTTTTCCCAGTTAAGTGGATTCAAATTAAGTGGATCAGCTGTGGACACATCCTACCATAGCTGATTCACTTCAACAACAACTGTTTTTCTCCTGAATTTTGTTTTGCGTAGGTGAAGTACCCTTGCTTTTGTATGCACTGAAACCTCTTCCTTTGTCATGGCCTTATGTTTTCTTTGACAGAAGAGAAACCAGGTCTATCACAGTAATAAGCAGTTGGATAGGATCACGTATTATATTTCTTCCCTTCTAGGTATCGAGTCAAAGATAAATCAGATAGAGCAACAGTAGAACAGGTAAGAAGGCTTAAATATATTAGCTGTTTTTGTTTGAAGCAATACCTGTGCTGAAATTTGGGGTACTCTGGACTTGGTGCTAAAGCTTTTTCTGGCTTCCAGGAGAGCCTCATTACATTCCATGTTTCTCTTTTTCTTGCCCAGCTGAACAAGCATATTTAAAAAAAAGAGATTGTGTTCATATTCAGTTGTTTTGGAGAGTGTCTTTATACTTCATATTATGATTTTGTTGTAGTATTCAGCTGGGATCTTGTAATTTTGTAAACTTGGAATCTCATTTTCAGCTCTCCTTTAGATATGGAATTTTCCATGAAAATGGTGAAATTGTCATTCCCCGCCTCCCCATCCCCTCCCCTCTTTTTTTTCATCCACTTACCTTTGCCCCTAAGGCAGGTAAAACATCAAGGGTGTCAAAATCCTATGGTCCCACAGGCCAGACAAGTGGTGTGGGCCTAATCTGTTGGCTGGATTGGACTCAGACTGTCATGCTGCACCAGCTCCAGGCACTCCAGGGCCACACTGCATGTAGTGCCTGTTCTGGTTGCTCCAGGATGTGCCCTGGATACGGCATGGAGTGGACATATACTGGAGTGGGCACTGCATGCAATGAAATCCAGGAGCAGCTGAAGAGGGTGGCACACGGATCCATCTGGCACACCCTACGTGCTGCCTGCAGGTCCACTCGAAACCTGTAGACAGTACTGGCAGCTGGATGAAAGGACTTTGCAGGTCAGACCTTTGATGCTTCTGCCCTATATTGATCACCATGTGCTGTTATGATTGTTTATTACATCATGGATTCTCTGAAATGTAATGCTTACTGCTAGTGCAGGTTGGAAGTAGCTCTCTTATAATGTTAAGATAGACCTAAGGGTGCATATCAAGCACCACAGATGAGAAGGAGCACATTTTTCTTAAGCACTTTAAAGAAGTAACAGCATATTGTCTTGGTAGAATGCTGAGCTGCTATCGTGGTTCAGTCAGTGCTATGATGCTATGGGTCCTTCAGGTCAAGATTGAGAATGGGATTAATAAGAAAACTAAAGTAGTTATGCTGGCTTTTTTAAATTATTTACTTTGAGGTATTGGATCCAAGGACCCGAATGATCCTGTTCAAGATGCTAACAAGAGGTGTCATATCAGAGATAAATGGCTGCATCAGCACAGGAAAAGAAGTGAGTTTTGTTGCAAATGGCATGCTGTGGTCTTATTCTCATTGTGCAGGAAAATTGTAGTGTACTCAGGAGGAGATAAAATCATGCTAGTAGCAAACATTTTACTAAGTTTTATTTGACTAGCAAGAAGTTACAAATTATATTGATCAAGTTAACTTTTTTTCTACTTTCCACTAATCATATGTGATGAGACTCAAAATACCATGCTGTTTAATAAGCAGAACTTGTAGAACTTCTACAAGCACTTGAAGTCCATCTAACATTTGTCCTGTTGAAATTCTTAATTTTTATTCCTTATGAATTTTGTGGCAGAACTACCTTTCTTGGTTAGCTAGTTCACATTACAGCAGTTTTGGGAGCTGACCGTTCTTGTGCACATGAACCAGTCTCCATTTCTATACAAAGATTGAATAACTCAGTATTACTGTGAATTTCTTTAAATTACTAACTGTTTACCACTTTTGCAAAAATACAGTCTGTATACTAGCACTATCAAATTGCATCACAAATACTTAAATTTATACCCCAGGAACAAATTACAGTTTTTTGATATCTTATCCCTGGGCTGGGTGTTTTTCTTTCCCCATGTGTTCAATTAATTCATTATGAGTACAGTGGATTGGCGTAAGACACCATTTATCTCATAGGCCATGTTTTAGGGACATCAGTTTTGCACAGTTCTCATGTTAGCGGGCTGCACAGAGGTGTTAATGCTTGAAGCCAAAGGCTAATTAATAGCAAAACTCCATTGACTTTAGATCATCAGGGCCAAACGCTGCTTCTCTACAGACCCCCTTACTGATCATTGCAGTGCTCACCCATGCACGTGGTTCCTTCTAAGGCAGTTTGCCCGCTCTCACAAGTAGAGATTTTCAGGATTGAGCTTGAAGAGTTGAGAACCAGCAGGGGCCAGGGAAACTCCTTGTTTTAGGATGACTCTTTTCCAGTTTTCTGTATCTGGGAAGCCTGTTGTAATTGTGGATAAGTGAAGTTCTCTACATACATATTTTTGTGCTTTCTACTTGCATTTAACATTGTTGTGCCATTCTGTGGCCTGATTCTCCATACTGCTCCCTGTGAAAGATACCCTATACTTGTGTGGAACCATGTTGACTATCATCATCACTTTATTCATGTGGGTGCTGGATTGAGGCCCAGAGATTTTTTTTCTCTTCTATAATTTGTTCTTAACTGTACATCAAACAGGTTGGATCTTGTTAATTGGGTAGAACATGTAGAACATTGGATATTGTTAACGCTACTATTGTTGTTAATGTTCACCACTTTAATATCTGTACAGGTTTTAATGTAGTGCATTTTGCCTGACAAAAAATAGTTAAAGTAGTGTCTCCATGTGGTAGGTATAACTCTGGTCTCTGTTTGACTCTGGAATGCAAGACATCTGTCTCTTTGCGAACTTTTTTTTTTCCTTGCTAAAATCCTGTTTTTAAATAAGGAAGCCTAAAATCAATGAAGCAGAATTGCTCCTGTGGAGATCCCCTGTGTTACTTAAGAAGTGGGGAGGGAGACTGAGTTAATAACATCTTACTCTTCTGTTGCGTGAATTTGTGAATGTTTCTTAGGCTTTGGTATCTGCACTTTGAGCAGATTTCTTAACATTTAAATTGTTCTCAGGATTTTAATGTTGTTTCTATCCTTCTACCCCATTAGGCTAATGTATATCATGCCACTACAGCAGATGGAGAAAACAGAGCAATAAAAATTTATAAAACCTCTATTCTGATGTTTAAAGATCGGGATAAATATGTGAGTGGAGAATTCAGGTAAGTTGGAGTTGTTCTTTTCATAGTACAGTACTAACTCTCTCCAGCACTAGCTGGATTGTCCTACAGTTCTCTTCGTTTCTCTCGGGCCATAAACAGAATAACCCAGCAATGTTGAAACTGTGATTTTTTTTTTTTATATGTTTTTTTAAGATTTCGTCACGGATATTGTAAAGGAAACCCGAGAAAAATGGTGAAGACGTGGGCAGAAAAGGAGATGAGGAATTTAATAAGGTAATTTTTATGACGACTTTTGTCACAGGAGGTAGAATAGAGATGCGCGTTAGCCCAGTTAAATTGCACCTGCTTCAATTTTTGGAAGCAAGAGCTCACTTTGTCAGAAAGCTTATGCATCTCTGATTCATTCGATCTATAAGGTACGTCTTTACCCTCTTTCTGCCTGACTTCAGACTAATACAGCTAACTCCTGTGACAAATTACTTGCTTTCTGCTATTGGCAGGAATTAATGTAGTTATGAGGTGATGTCAGCTCAATATCCCCCATAAACTGGGGATCAGTAGGACAAGGGGATCAGTAGGACAAGAACCAACTTCCAGGGGAAGTGGTGCTGGCTACTACCCTGGGGGTCTTTAAGAAGCGGTTCGATACCTACCTGGCTGGGGTCATTTGAGCCCAGTTTTCCTCCTGCCCAGGCAGGGGGTCGGACTTGAAGATCTACAAGGTCCCTTCCAACCCTACTTCTACGATTCTGTGATAAGGTGATAACATCTTCAGAACTGCTGTCCATTCCCAGCTTGGGTGACCAGGGGCACTTTTCATTCAGTGGCTGTTAATAGTCATTTAAAAGATTCCTTTTACACTTCTAATTGGCAAGACTGTATCTGGCCTGCACAGTGGCCTGAAACCCACAACCCTTACTTGGGCAAGATTCCTATTGGCTTCTGATAGGTAATGAGACATATTCCATGAGGAAAGACTACAAGGTTCAGCACTTGATATTGGGCTTTGAAATTCATACTCTTTTCTTATTAGGCTGGGAATAGCACACTTGTAACATTATACTTTCAGGAAATACATTTAGGCTTTCCATCCAACAAGCCTGTTTTTAGCAATTACCTTATTGTCTAAAGTGTGAAGCGAATAGTGATTCATAGGCACTGAACAGAGCCTGTGGAAGAATCAAGCTTGCATTAGAGTCCACAAGGTGAAGGAGCATTCCTTCTTTTCTACACTCATGGTCCCCAAATGAGGAAAGTGCCCAGGAAAGAGACCCTTGTTCACTGCCAGGGTCTGCAGCAGTGTCATCCATCACCTTCCGGTCAGGGATTTCAGAGGCAGGTGATGGCTCTCAACACCTGATCCAGAGCCAGTAAAAATCAGTGGGATGAGCCTGCATACACTAATGGGCTGTTGGTCCGGCTTTAAAAAAATCAACATGAAAGTAGTTTTTGTCTCTCCCCATGGAAGACGTCAGTGAGACTTGTTTCTGCCCCGTAAGCAGGGTTAAAACCAAATGGTGTGGGAGTTTGGAGTCTGAGGACTCCAGGTCTTGCCAAAACCTTCCTCAGAATGGGAAGATTGGAGATGAGGAGATAATGAGAGCTAATGTTATTGTCAAGGGCCAGTTTCACCAATGACTTGTTTGAGTGATGCCAGCACTCTGCCCTCATCAATCAGTTATTGGCTCTTTCAACCTTTTGCAGCAACAGTGTTTTCCTATTAAGTTTTTCAAAAGTTCCTCATTATTCAGTGTAATGCTAGGGGATTCTTTGTTCCCATGTCTCATTGGCGCTGTCCTTTGCAGGCATCTCTTCTGTTTGTTGATGCCACTTTTACAGTATGCTCTACCTCGTGCCTCTGCATAATGGCTCAGAGTCCTCCTTTCTTCTGATAGTTATGGGTTTTTTGTTGTTACAATTTTATAGATTGAATACAGCACAGATACCTTGCCCAGAGCCAGTTATGCTAAGGAGTCACGTGCTTGTCATGGGTTTTATCGGTAAAGGCGACATGTAAGTATCCTCAGAAAAGCATTGAGAACTTTTTATTTTTCTTCTCTCTAGGCCTAAATAAAGGTAGGTTTACAAAAATCTGAGTTTGTCTAGCATGCGGTATAGGTTAATGATGAATTGTGTGTGTTATCCTTGTATGCAACTGAGATATAAAATATAAAGTTTATTGATAGCTGTTGCAGAGGGTCTGCCTCTTTCTAAAGCCTGATCATTGCATCAGAAGAGCAAGCGAAACACCTTTTGTTAGGAAGGGGCTGGGTAGGGTCATTCTGTACTCTGACTACAGCTGGTGAAGATTAATTATAAAGTCCAGAAAAGGTAGTGCAGGTTGTGGTATGTTTAGCCATGTAATTGGAAAGGCTCACTGATTATACCATGCAGAAAAGTTAATTTGGCATTTGTTAATGTAAAAACTTAACACAATATAGTGATGCAGCTTCTCTGCTGCTGTCAAATATTGTTATTTTATTATCTTTAGTGGAGTTGTGTAGCTAATGCTCATCTGCAAAGCAAGCCCAATATATTAAGTGGTTGGATAAATCACTGAGGCGCTGCTGCTCACAGTTAGAATGGATGAATTAAGTATTGTGGATAAAAAAACAGAACAGGTGTAGGTAGTATATGATGGAAGAATTTATTCTGTTTCTCTTTTTAATCTAAGGCCTGCTCCTCTGTTGAAAAATGTTCAGTTATCTGACTCAAAAGCCCGGGAGTTGTATCTGCAGATCATACAGTACATGAGAAGAATGTACCAGGATGCCAGACTTGTTCATGCTGACCTCAGTGAATTTAATATGCTGTATGTTTTTAAACCTTCCTTTATTTTGTAATATTTAAAGTGTAGATATTGGCAGCTTCTTTACATAATCTAAAGCTGTGCAATACTGATATCCCTTTAAAGGAGGGTGTTTTTTCCCTTTATAGATCTGCTTTTTAATATGTACAGACCTTCACCCACATCTCTCTGAAACAGAAATGTTTTCCAAGCTAAACTGAATATGATATTCAGTGGGGGGGGTTTCCACTGGCTGATGAATAAATAAGTGAGTTATAGTAGTGCTTGGGGTCATGTTGTAACTGATGGGCCAGAAAAATGTGAGAAGCAAGGATTTTTAAGTGAGCTATGATAATTGTTTTCTAAAATTGTTTTTTGTGCTCTCTTCCAATCATATGAGTAATTTATTTGGAAAAGAAATCCTAAAACATGAAGTGAATTAAATAGCAAAACATTAGATTTATGTTCCAGGCTCCTAGGTTTGAAGCATTCTTTTTTTTCCCCCAATGATAGGGTTTAAAAAAAAACAATTGTGCTTATTCCTCTTGGTGTCTATCCAGATACCACAATGGGGAGGTGTTCATCATTGATGTATCCCAGTCAGTGGAGCACGACCACCCACATGCTTTAGAATTCCTCAGGAAGGACTGTGCCAATATCAATGGTGAGTAACCTATTGTTCAATTCCTCTTAATAGCTTGTTTCTTAAGGAATGTTAACTGTGTTCTCCCTCGTGTTCTTTAAAATATGACACAGCATTAGTAGAACAAGAAGAATATTGTTAATGTTCACCATGTTAATATCTGTACAGGTTTTAATGTAGCACATTTTTCCTTACACAACAATATTTAAATTAGCATCTTCATGTTGCAAGTATAACTTGGCTCTGGAAGGCAAGAAATCTGTCTCTTTGCGAACATTTTTTCCTTGCTGAAATCCTTTTTTTATTTTTATTTTATTTATTTATTTTTTAAAATAAGGAAGCCTAAAATCATTGCAGCTGAATTGCTTCTGTGGAAATACCTTTTGTTACTTGGGGAGGGGGGAGAAGAAAAGGGAAGTGAGTTAGTAACATCTCACACCCACTGTTGCATGGACTTGTGAATATTTCCGTTGGCATCTGCACCACCCACTCTATTGTCTCTAAATGCTACACACCATGTTTCAGAGATGTATGTGGTAGCTGTGTTGGTTTGAGACCAAAAGAAATGCAAAAATCTAGAGCTCTTGATTCCAAAATAATAAAAACTGTGTTAGGTTTTCTTGTCCACTTGGAGTAGTAGCCTTAGATAAGATTAGTCTGGCTACTCCCTAGACAACGTTGGTTTTAAATTGTGCGTGGAACTTTAGTTCCCCCTTCAAACTTCAAATTTAGTTAGGATTGGCATCTTCAGCCAAGTAAGTGTAAGCCTTGGCAAACTACCTTTTAGCCCAGGATTTGTACCATATGTTATATGAAACATTAGCATGAACTTGGTTTGTTCCTCAGAAGACGTCTCTAATGATTCTTGGTTGAAGTCCAGACCTGCAAACTTTACTATCTTGTATCAAAAAAGTTTAATCTCAGTGCTATTAAAACCACTAAATCCTTTGTGAAAGCATCACTTTTTCCCTGTTGCTTTTCTATTGATTTGTGATCTATGCTGATCCCGCTTAAGTCCTTTTAGGATTTGTTCCATAGTTTCACTAGGAGCAGAAGGGAATTCCAAATGTTCAAGCTTTATTCAACATTCATTGAGTCTGGGAGATGCGCAGTTTTGCATTTCACATGGCTAGGAACTATCTGATAAATGACCCTAGTGGGGTTCTATAAGCTTCCTAGCATATTCCCCAAAACCAGAGAAACATTACCCTATATCTAACCTTACTTAAATGCACACATGCATCCCTCCGTGACATATATGGTAACTTTATTTTCCTGGTTCCTGGCAGATTTCTTCCAGAAGTACGATGTTGCAGTGATGACTGTGAGAGAACTGTTTGAATTTATTACAGATCCTTCCATCACAAGTGAGAACTTGGATGCTTATCTATCAAAGGTAAGGCTTCCAGGACTTGTGCATGGAGATTTAAGGAATAAAATGAAACCTAGGTCTAGGTCACCCATTTTGTTTTAATCCAGAACTGTGCTTCCTGTCTGGAGACAGTATGTTGCATAAAGAAGCAGCACCCTACAAAGAGCCTAACATTAATTTTAACACAAACTACAGAAGCATGTTCATGTGTCCCTTTCTGGTTTGTGAGGGGTGTTGAGTCTGAGTGGGGCAAACTTTTTAAAGTGCAACAAGTTCAGCTCAGTGCTGATTGATCCAGTTGGGGAAAGGAACACAATTATCACAGGAGGAAGTGAATGTGCTGGCTTCTATCTTGGCAGCTGAAGTATTGTCGGCTGGACTGAGTTACTCACTGTCACTGAGCATGCAAGTGGCACAATGTCTTTCCTCGCCTACTTTCTTGCTGTTTATCTAACCTTGTTCAGATTCAAGCAAAGGGTGCATTTAAACTCTCCCAGGCCTCATTTGTTGTTCCATCAGGCACTAATGGGGTGGTTTTCAACTTCCTTAGATTCAAGGCAGCGCTTGGGAAAATACTAGCTTAATTTGCACTTGTTTTTTTGACTACAGAAAAATAATAAAGCACTTCTTCTGCCGCAGAGAGCTCAAAAAGATCACAATGGGTTAGAATATTTTTAACACTCTGGATTCTTATTTGAAATATCTGGGTTTATTCTGTGAATTATAATGTGTGTACCTAACTGTGCTACCATTGCATGGTACCATATGCATGTACCACACAGCCTTCTACCATAGTCCTGGATCCACCCGTGCATGCATGGGAGCATGGTTACCAGGGCCCTATTCTCCTACTCTATTGCAGGGACTGCTGTAACTTGATCCTATTTTGGACTGGAAGTAGTGTAGAGAACGGTAGCATAACTGATAGGGAACAACCAGGGAAGCATCCCTGGATGCCACCTTTTGAAAGGGGGAGGGAGATCTAAATAGCCAGAGCCATAGTTGCAGTTGACTGCTGCCACTGTTGTTGCTGCTGCTGCAGCCGCTGCTGCAGCCACTGCTGCCCACATGTCAGTGGCCCTGGGTACATGTCCTCTTGTACTCAGTAATAGATTGTAAGCTAGTACTGGATTTAAGTGGATGTATTGTTCAGAAATGTTCACCATTAGGTGTCGCTAAAAGCATGACAGTTGGAAAACTTCAGGTGTTTTGCCTGAGTGGCAGAGAACAGCTTGCAGGTGGGTAAAATGGAAGCAGAGAAATGCATATAGGGACAGCTTGATGAATTTTCCAGGATGAGATATGTGATTAAAGAGTGAGGATTTTATAATGCCTGTTCTATTTCTATAGGCAATGGAAGTAGCATCCCAAAGGACAGAGGAAGAAAGGTCCAGTCAAGATAAAGTGGATGAGGAGGTAAGCAAAGAATCTTTTTTTTTTTTTTTTTTCCTTCCATGAGATGACTTTTAACTTTATCCTTTTTACAACATTATACATTTTCTTTAAAGCTTTATTTTATACACAGAATGTTACATTTAAGACATTGGTAGGTCCTAAACTAATTGAGGAGATTTTAAGGTATTAAATGATGTTTCATTCAAAACCTCTCTTACGATATCTTCCTTCCTATCTATCTTTTTTGATCAGCATTGCTTATATCATTACAATATTTTCTAATCTAGCATGGTTGTTCAACTGGTTCTGCAAGTAAGATATCACCAGAGACCAAACTAACAGTGAAGAGGCAGAGTGCAAAAAATCTTCCAATCATTTACATAATCTCAAAGAATAAAGCACAGTGAGGATTTTGGACTTAAATAGACTTCCCTTCCCCTGCCCCCTCATTATTCATATTGATGTAAAAAAACAATTCTGCTCTCCTTTCCCTTTCCCTAGATTTCAGTTTAGTTCTAATTATAGTACGTGTTGTTTTTTCTTTTATTTTTGATGTAGCGGTAGTTAACGTGGATTGGTTGCATTTGCATCATCGAAGATGTATGCTGTTCTGGAAATGTTTGACATGCAAAGCATAGGACAAAGCTATTATCTGAATTGATTCCTAAACTTTTCAACAGCAAAGCAACAGATTAAAATTAAAAAAAAAAAAAAAAAAAAAGGGTTTAGCAACAGTGGGCACTTTGTACCAGGCTAGAATGTAGAGCGAGGACATGTTTTGGGCCTTTTGCTGCTAGTCTTCTTCTAAGCAAAATGCCTGAACTTGGGAGTTCGGGTCTGGCAGGTGTGGCACATGCTCAGTGCCCACTGAAATCAGTAGTGCTGTACGCATTCAAATATCTTTCTTTCCTCTTAGATTTCTGCAGGTTGCAGCTTTCACCTCTGGCTTTTGCTCTGGCCCCTGCAGAGGCCACAAAGCCTGCCAAGTGTCAAGGAGATTGGTGCAAGGGTTCTGGGGCCCTGCACCTCTAGCTGCTGACAGGCAAAACTCGTGACATGGGTGCGCATCAAACTTGGTACGCATCATGCTCTCAGCAGAAGCTACCACTCCTGCAAGTTTCATCTAAATCAAACAAAAAACAACAAAGTTATCGATATTTCATTGATTTCCCTGTTATACCCTATGGCCAGATCTCCAAAGCGACTCCGAAACTGCGGAGCCAATTCAGTCGAATCCAAGCAGGAAACCGATCCAGAGCTCTGAATCAGATCGCTGGCATCCAAATCGGCCGGATCCAAAGCCAAATCAATAGCTGCCTATTCACACAGGCCTATTGGTCAGGCAATAGCATATATTCTAAAAAGATCCTAATGTGGTGTTAGGATAAATGAGTTGTGTATTCATAGACCCACTACAACAGAAAGACAATTTCTTGCCAGTCAGGTATTCCAAGGTGGATAATCTAAATTATGGCTGCTGTTTGAGCCCAGAAGAGCATCAGAATAACTTATAAAAAACACACAATGAAGACTTTCCTGCATTCAAAAGGTTGTCTAACTATCTCAACTATGCAGGTAGTCCAATAAACAATATCACCCTAACGAATCCTTGCCTCTTACAGTGAAGAGGAATAATCAGCACAAGATGGGAATTAATACATGTACTTGTTTCTTTTCTCTGTACTAGGTATTTAAGAAAGCTTACATACCTCGAACCCTGACCGAAGTTAAAAACTATGAAAGGGATGTTGATATCATGATAAAACTGAAGGAAGAGGATATGGCATTAAATGTT